TATATATATATATATATATAACGATAATAAAATTTCTCTAACTTTAATGAATGATTCTTGATGTATGAGTGGTTCTATTTATATTATCACTGGTCATTACGAATGAACTTTTGAGTTAGTTCTTAACGAGCAGTTAATTATTATTATTATTGCAATGAGTTTATGTGTGAATGTACAGATTTAGATGTAAAAGTACGATGCTGTCAAATTTCTCTATAACAATATCGTTTGTTCCGATATTTTTTGTATATTAAATGGTTGTTATACACATACAACAACATCTGACGTTTGAATATTTTGTGACCGTTTTGGATAAAAAATAACCAAAAATCATTTTTTTGGTTTTTAATGTTACCTTTAAAAAAGTAATAAAATTTAAAATCTCAAAAAATATACATATTTTACTATTAAATACGAGAGAAGTATATTTTTAATGGATTTAAATAAAATCTTTAAGTGAAAGTATGTACTAGCATAATATTTTTAATTATAAGTGGTACATTAAATTTAAAATATTCAATTAAAATCTTTAGACTTATTATTGGTAATATCAGAGTTTCTACATGGCTACAATAAAGGGATAATTTTACAAATAGTGTACTGCTATAAAATGGTTGTTGTTGTTATAGATAAAAACCTATTATAGAGAGATAAAGTATAATATAAAAATTTAGTTCCGAGAATAACTTAATTTTTATAGTGAATGGCTGTTGTATAAGAATATTATAGAAAGTTCCTAATGTATTATAAGAATATTCGAGGTCGACTTTTATACGACGAGATGGATCGGATTGTAGTGAGAAATTAGCACTATTAGAAAAGTTTGTTCGTTTTAAAGAAGAAGAATTAAATTAAATAGCCGCCTACCCAAGCGCTTAAACTTAAAATAGCCGATGAGTATTTAATATATGTATAATTCATGTATCATAAATATAAAATTGTATATAATTATTGTGTATATAGTGAATTACTGGGTGCCCAAGGCCATATGTAAATGACCTTTATGAGATGGGGCTTTTGAGCTGATTCTTACACGGGTAGGGCCCATTACAAGCATAAATGATCGGGATTTTTTCCAATTATACAAAATCAGAATAATATTTATCCGTTTTATTTGGGTTTACTATTCAAAAAGCAACTAGAGATGTTTACAAAATATATATAAATTCGGTCAAAAACTACAATTTACATACAACTTTGTTATATGGATTCCGACTGAAAAGCTATAGTTTATATACAACTTATATACAACTTGTATACAATTATATTAGGTGTATATATTTTGTACGTCATTTGTACACCCGACGTACAAAATATATACAATTTATTTATATCTTCTTCTTCGAGTTTTTGTTATGCGAATTGTCTGCTCTACCTGTTGCATTTTTATTATATTTATATATAGCCAATACTAGCCTTCTCCTCCGTTTGGGGGTTGTCAACGAGACTTGTTAGGCATCCTTGGAGATACTTATCCCGTTTGGGTTTATCACGTCGTGTGGCAGGTATAGAGTCTACACTGTGCAGGTGAAGGAACTCGTGGCTAGAGGCAGACTTCCTGAATCTAGTTCACAGGCTCTGTTGATTCATTCCTCTAGTTGTTTCAGACACTTACTTTTTTAGACGCTTTTGTTTGTTCAAGGGGAATGCCTCAATTTTATGTACTAGATGTCGTTTAGAGGCTCATGACTTAGAAGGTTTTTGATGTTTTGAAGTTAACCTCTCTAGTTAATTGCCTGCTAGTATTTTGAATGAAAACTTTTGTTGATTTTACTTTCATTATTGAGAACTGTTTAGACTTTTAGTTAGCTAGTATAAGGTTTGCTCGACTGGTAAGATAGTGATGTTATATGCTTTAATGTCACACAAGAGGGGAGTGATTTGTGTGGTGTCCAATTTTCGCGTGCACACATTATAGAAGGACCTGATTCTTCTATGTGTTCCTTATACTACTAGTGCGAAAATAATAAATGCGAAAAGTAAAGAACACAAGTATTTTCATGTGGAAAACACCCGGCTCAAACAATAAAAAAATCACGACCTACTACTCAGTAGTATTTTTTCCAACACTTCACTAAATCACTTAGCCAAAACAGCATTTATAAAACTCTTTGTAAACCTAAGGATTACCTCTAATTCCGTTGTGGAAACCAGCCTCTAACTGTTGCGACAACTTCAAGTTAACTCTAACTTGAATACTCAGAGTACCGAATATAATTGCTTCTAGATAAAGCTGAAAGGAACAATTTGAAAAGTCCTACTACAATTGAACTAGAATAAAAGACAGACACTTGGAACTGGTTTTCTATCTGGTTCATGTAGCTTCAGGTTCGCACACTTGAATCACACAAGAATTGCTTGCAAAATCCCTTGCTATTTTGCTCTCAACTCACGTTTAACTTCAGCTTTTGTAATACCTGTAAAATGAGAACATCCTATAATTTATAGAGTTAGTAGAATGGAATAACTAAAGTTCTAACGCTATACTCTTCCATCGTGGAAGAGTTCTAGTTATCTTCAACTTCTATCTCCTCCCTTATCTTAGATAAAGTTCTTTTCGAGTAAGGAGTCCTCCTTCTTATCATTTATGCAACATTTTTGTTACATCCCGTACTTTAATATTAGGATTAGTCATAGTAAACCACATGAGCTTGAAGGGACTAAGACAATTCATGAGATTATAGAGAATGAGTTACAGAATGGTTCGCTCGGGCCAGTACGACATCGAGTGCCGGCCACGCCTCCCCATGTTTGGGGCGTGACACTTTTCAATCAGGAGATATCAGATATAACAATTTATTATCTCCTTCACATGCATCCCTTATGCTCGAATCTGCCCGTGTTTGTGTACATTGTGTAAGGACATGGTTCATGTTGGAGTTCCTTTGTCAATCATCAAAATAAACTTCACTTGGGACAATAATTTCCCCCTTTTTGATGATGACAAACTCTGTGCTTTTCATAACCATTGGCCCTGTTTCAACTCAGCTCAACATCAACACAAAGTTAGAACACTTTTCAATTTTAAAGTCACAAATCATCAAGGACCAGTTCATTAGGTTATAAACAACACAGACCAAAGTAAAAGCACAAAAATATCTTCCTCCTTTTGGAATGGTCGAAAAGTTTCATAATTATGTTAGATAACCAGATTTTAATAGAAATTACTCATGGCCACTAGGGCTACTTCAAATGCAATCATGAAATCAAGTATCATTTATCAATCTAATGATATTAGCCATCTAAGAAGCATTAACAAACAGTTTGAGCACAAAAATAGTTGATTATCATTGATACAATTCATCCACAAATCAAAAAGAAACGAAAAATCCCATCCAGATTACTGGTTGATCTAACTAGGCTAGGAAGTCTTTAGGCTGGGAAAGACCAAGTTCTTGGTTCTTGGCTTGAAGCAGTTTCAGCAAATCCTGAAGAGTGCCATCATTCTTCTCCTTCTCCTTTGCAAGATCAGCTTTAAGAGCATCTCTCTTAGTTTCTACTTCTGTCAACCTCTTCTTCAGCCTTTCAATTTCAGCATCATTAGCCCCACTTTCTTGCACCAAGGCTCGCACTTTGCTGTTCACAGGTACCTTTTTGGATGAACCCGGTTTTTTGGGGGTGGTGTGGACTTCGTAGTCACAAGCAGTCAAAGTAATTGTCCCAAAGTGATCCTTGCTTGTACCAATTTCTCATTTCTTGATGGGTACCTTGTAGTGTGCAAGTACAGCCGTGAGAATAAAACCATAGGATATGGCATGAGTTTTGGTGCCAGTCAGAACGCTATCAAGAAGCTAGATGATAAATCCAGGCCAATTGATTTGCCTTCCACTGTCCAGGAATTCCATAAGGGCCACGTCCATCAATGTGGCAATGTTCCTTCTTTCATGCCTGGGCAACACAACTTTATTAACAAATTCGAACAATACTTTGTGGGGTGACTCCTTGTCACTTTTGTACATGGCCTTGGCTGAAGTTCCCATTCATTGCCACCAAACTTTCTTGTAATGGCATGGGAGGTAGGGAGATTCTCTAGACTTGGATATTTGAGCTTCTTGTAACCATTGTACCCTTCAGAAGATACACCTAAGATCTCTCCCAATTCTTTGAGCTGATTTCGGATTTTTTAGTTATAACTTTGTAATTTCTTGCAGTATTGATTCATTTAGCCTGTATTGATTGTATTGTACTGCTTGTGGATAGATTCGGGTCATTTGGAGGCCGATTTGCGAGTCAAAGATGTGTTGGAGTAGAGGTTTTCCTGGATTGAGGTAAGTAACACTTCTAAACATGGCTTTGAGGGTTCGAAACCCCGAATTATGTGTTATGTGATTGGTGTTGAGGTGACGCACATGACAAGTGACGGGCGTGCGGGCGTGCAATGTGAGAATTGTGACCTGGTCAATTCCATGGCACTGTATATTGGTTCTATCTTGTTGATATTCGTATTTTCATCATGTGATAAAGTAATTAAGCTGTCAATCATGCTAGAGATCATGTTTAGGCCATATGTCAGTAATATTGGGACCCATAGTGGCCGTTTCTTGTTGTTGACTTACTGATTCATTGATATTTTATACTTAGTCATATTCATTCATTTCATATCATATCTCAGTCTCTGTTGTTATTTATTGATACATCATTTTATCATGTTCGTGCTAGTTTCATGACATTATAAGCCCATGAGAGAGACTAGAGAGATTGATGACTGAGTGAGGGCGAGCACGTGATTATGAGTGGCATTACTGATT